CATCCATCCAATTAGCTATGGATCTTGGGAGGGTTCATATGGTCACAAGACTGGGCCTTTGTTTGCTCTCATTCTGGGCAGGAGCCACAGATTGTAACGTGCAACTTTCTCTTCACCTAGGACTGCTGGGAAATTAGACATTTCTTCTTGTTCACAAAGCAAGAAAGACCGGCTGTATGCAAAAGCCCGGGATGCATTTGCTAGCCAAACTGGAACCAGTGCTTACTACCCTTTAATTCAGCCATATTTAGGTAGGTATTTAAACTTTTCCCTTCTTTTATTCTAGTGCAGTTGATACAGGACTGGTCCTCCCCTGCCCCCTCCATACATTGGCATAACTAGATGTTTATAAAAGACATGCAGTAAGAACCCTGCTCCCTGCTTGGAAAATGCTACCGCGTCTGTAAGTTTATTAAAAACCCTACCTATTTTTATTAAGGTGGAGCTCCAATAAAGGACCTGGAACACTTAGCAGGATCTAATATTGGCATGGATATCGACACATTTACTTCCTTAAAACCCAGCGAACTGCAGGTATGTTACACACATTCATTGCATGCTCCTTAAACTGCTGGCTCGTGCCTAGTAGAAGACCCCAATTCCATTGCTAGAGACTCTACCAGCTGTCTTGGTACGGTCAGGATCTCTAGTGGAATGTCCACCAATGAAATGCCACAGAACAGCCGGTGGAGTGAGGGATCCACAGAGAAAGGGGGTTTGCACCACTGACGCACATATAATGCTTTACACATTTACTGTCCTGAGGAGCTGACGATCTCAGTAGACAGGGAATGTAACTTCACAGGAGAGAGGCCGCACAATCATGTTTAGCAAGTGTTAGCGTCAAGGCTATTGCCCGATGAGAACTGGATGGGAGGGATTTGGGATGCTGTATCTTTAATACATATTTTTTTAAATGTTATTATTTTGTCAGTAATCATATTAGAAAAAGTATCCTCTGGTAACACCGCCTGTTTGTGAAGTTGAACTGTTTTCACAAATGCGTTGCAGAACCTCAGTGTCCAGAATGTGAAAAATTTGCTTGGTGTAAACCTCCCTGATCTAAAACGAGCTGAAAATCATCCATCCGTGACCAGCTGGATCCAGAGGCACTATCAGTCGGAACTGGACAGCGTCCTGGGCATCGGTCTGCTCGGGGGAATGTCAGAGCCAGTCTCAGTGGCAACAGCTAGCAGTGGGACTTCCGCTACCCCTGATACCAGCACCACCCCACCTACCACCACCTACAATGTCACCATCCCCCACGAAACCACCTCCCCACCTGCTATTATTGCTCCACTTGCTACCATCCACAATACCACCACCACCGACAACACCACCTCCCCACCTGCTA